CCGTATAAATATAAGTTATAAACTCAGTAAGTAATAAGAGATATAAAATAATAAGAGACTCTCAAAGGCTAGATATCTACCTAGGTATATATAGAAACACAGGATAGTGAAGGGTGAAGGGTGAAGGGTGAAAGATGAAGGGGGTTCTTGGAAACAATACTATGCTCTTCTGATATTGATATTGATAATTATTGATATTAATAACTTAGCAAACACCGACTTAGTGTAAAAATAGGTATATAACATATATATTTTAAGAGGAAAATACTTTTAATAACTTGAACCCGTATACTGAGTAGTATATACGGTATTTTTATTTTTATTTATACGAGTAATGGTTAATTATACGATCCTCCTATTTGCTATTGTATCATATCATATCATATCTTCGATTCAGACCAATAGCCAATTGCCAATAGACAAAGGCATGAGTATCAGTATCAGTATCAGTATCAGAATCAAAGAGTATCTCTCCTCTCCTCTCCTCTCTAAGAATCAACCATCGAGAGCGAGAAGAAAGAATTAAAGAATCAAGAACCAAACTCAAACTCAAACTGCATCAAAGCCATGAGCGAGCAATACGTTTTAGACATCGTACGAGTACTTTCTCCACAAAGTCACTCCAAGGAAAACCAAGTGGCGGGTCAGTCAGGTATGCAATATCTACCAACCATAATATAATGGATAATACCAGGCACGAAATTTTAAAGCACTGATTTGAATTTTGAATCTTGAATCTTTGATTGAATAGGCAAGTTGCATTGCATCTCATGTCATCTTGGTATCGCATCACATCACATCACATCACTGTATGTATATAGTCTTAGAGATTCGTGGTACAACCTACAGGAATGGGATGGGATAGCTTTGGGGTACTTACTTACTTACTTCTGATTGATGAATGAGTCGATGCCATCGATAGTCGTAAACAGAGGTATACTCGAGTACAACGTAACGTAGGACTTTGTTTTGTCCCGCAGAAGACCGTATCGTAATTATAAGATTACAATACACCGAAACTCCCGTTCTTGAATCTAAGATGTCCAATTCCAGCTTCATATACTCGTAAATAAACATTACTTCTAGCTCGGCATAGGATAGGATAGGATAGGATAGGATAGGATAGGCGATAAAGGCAAGCTCGGAAGAAAATTACTGGACCAGAATGCCAATCGATTTTGACAATATAAGATTATCGGTCCAGTGGGGCTGAATCTATCTCCATCGTTCGCAAATGATATGCGGGTAGCAATAGCCATGAAGGGGATATTGGTGGTCGTCTCTTCAGTGATCGAATACCGGTACGTCTTTATTGGCCCAGTGGTAGGTAGGTCTGATAGCATTGCTATTGATTATTGATTTGTGCCATCAAGCATTTTATTGCCTCAGTATTATTCAAGCTAGCGTGCATGATAGCATATGAATTCTCACAGCGTCGTCGTCGCGGAAAAATGTTATGCGAGAAGGGGTCTGTAGGCTATCTCAAATTCAGAGGCTGAGGTCGGGCCAGCTAAAGCGTTTTCGTCATGGTATGTTTCTAAACGAAAAGCTAAGACTACCTAGGTATACTTGTTATCTAATTATGGTAATCTATAGCTCTTAATCTATCAATGCATCTAGTAGATGATCAAGATATTATGTTTTGATAATTCTGCTATTGCCTTATGTTGCTTTCACTTTTTTGAATTAATAAAGTACACATTTGTTGAGTGTGAAGGTTACAAATACATTAGGAGTGGATTCACCGAGCTCTTCGTGAAGCACAAAGCAACACTCGAGTTCTATCTAGTTCTTCTGCACCGTCATGGATAGCTTCTACAAGAGCAGACTATGGTCGATATAAATGGTACCTCGATATTTTGAACAGTAAACCACATCTTTGAGGACGGAAGTGACTATCAGTACCCGAAGTAGAATGGATTCGTTTTCCCTACTTCTACTTCTTGGCTGGTCCAAAACGGCCAATTGATACCCTATGAATTTGCATTCACTCAATCAAGCCCTCTGGCATAGCCGCATAACCACATAGATCAGGGTCGTTTAGAGCCTCCGATGTTGCTCTGTGCAAGATTGTGTCGACTTTGTTGAACATCATAAACTCGGAAGAGGACTGAATAATTACAATGGCGTACTTGCGGTTGTGCATTTTGTCTAATAGTAAAAGGTTGAAGTCTTTTTGGGGAGGACGAGTTTGAAAATTAATGGTAATGCTAGATTGGGACGTTGAGTTTCTCAATGTAGCTAGTATTGAAAAGTTGAAAAGTTCAAGTAAAGGAGCAAAGTGAAATGTGAAATGTGAAATGTGAGACAGCAAGAATAGCATTGAGAATCTTTGGGATATTCGGGTAACGATCTTCATCCTCATTTACACTTGCATTGAGATTCGGTATGGAAAACTAATTGTAGTACCAGTAGCTTTGATAAATCTGCATCGATCTCAACTTAAAATTCTGGTATAAACAACAAATAACAAAGCCTACTATAATCAGCTCGCCCATCCACTGACAAAAGCATGCCCTTAAGAATAGCGCACAAAAATTACCAGGGGACAGGAAAAGTCGCAATCGAGAACCCCAGTAAAAAGCACAAGAGGGACAACCCAACTACCTGAGACACGCCGCTCGCAGGATGGATGGGGACGAGTTAAGACAGGGCTACTCGTACATGAAACCAACAAGCTCCAAAAAGCAAGCAAGCTCCAACAACCTCCTCCCTAATTATTACACGGAAGACTACTTTCAGAATCTATCCAACTCCGCCGGAGCTCTAAAGTCTCAATGCGGATTAAGATCATCACTGCTCTTTCGCGACACTGGTTATGTTTTAGATCCGAAGATCAGAAAATGGAGTAAAACAAAAAAGGAATCTTTCGTTGGCAGCTGAGGCTGAGCCAGCTGAGCCTGCCCTGTTGTCCTTCTGACATAAGGATCCAATTTCGAGCTGGTAGGACCTACCTAGACACCGTCGAATGAACCGTAACAGTGATAACGCTCATATCTTGACAAATATCAAATCATGTACCTGATACCCGCCTCACTCAAGGTATTGGGATCTGCACGTCATGGCAGCATCAAGCAGGTAGGGAAAAGGGGGGGGGGGTTTGGCCTCGCTAGCAACTTGGCTTCTTCCCAAATGATAGGTAGGATGTCAGCAAACTACCTAGCCTTTGCAGAAAACATGGGGTAAATGAAGGTCCCCAAAATTGGTCTGTGGATTTCGCAAATGCACTGGCATTGAATCGACATGATGAAAATTGGAATTAGATTGCAGTGAAAATAATTGAAACCCTATATATTGGGGCTGAAATCGGAGCTCAATTGCTCGTACTAGAAGCTCATTTTCATAACTACAGTATCTTCTGTTTAAGGGGGGGATTTTGCTTTTTTTAAAAGAATTTATACTTTTTCGGTTCTTTTCATCTCTCCCCAAGCCACATTTTCCAAACCGCGATAAGGGTATCAATCAATACATCAATACAGTAAGTAACATGCCCGACAATGAACCCCGTCGGCTAAAAAAACACAAGGATAATTTGCCCGGGGCGTACCCTCAATAGATCCCGCCCGTTTAGCCGGGATCGGTCTGTAAAAAAAAAAAGATTTTATTTTTGCTGTTATATATCCACTCCAGCCTTAAATTGTTCAGGGCATAGAAAAATAAAACATTAGCTCATCACACGGGTTGACAAAATAGAAAAGTTGGGCTGCCAACTTTAAGACAGGGGGAGCATAATAAATAAAGCATGATTTGTGTGGTGAGATTCTTCGTTGAGTTCATCTCAAGATATATACAGTATCTTCATGCAATGATACTAAACCTTGCTGTGTTATAGAAGAAAGGTTGATTCATACAATACAATAACTTCAAAAGGCACGATTAGTCATGATGTTGAAGTTTATGTCGAGGTTAATTTAAATACGGGAATGCAAATGAGATCGAGATTGAAGTCCCAGGATAAGTTGGCAAGCCAGTCCGTACTGTAAAGTATATCAGGCAAAGGTCTAATTGGGCGGGATAGATGCATCATAGTATGTGAAACCATCACATCGATTCCCTAGCAAAGTAGCAACAAATCATCATTCGAGTTCTACTCGTTCAGGATGATTTTCGTAGATCGGAAGTTCTTCGGTAAGCACAAACACAAGCACCATCGTACTCATTTGCGGATCTGCGAATAACATGCTGTGTGGCGTGATATGTATGTACTGCTGCATATACTGTACGGTGTATGCAACAGGATGAGTGATTGAGTATATTCGGTATCATATTCATGGTGCCGAAGTCCTCGTCGCTGTGACTCAACATCTTTCTGTATTAGTCAGTTCCCATGGGAGAATTCTAATTCTATGTTATGTTGACCGTGACCATTTTATCCTCATATGCATGATGTGGGTATTCCAAAAAAACAAAAGCAAAACCATGATCTTGAAGAATGATGGCTGGCTAGTTTCCCCACTCTAAAATATCATTTGCCGAAAAACATGCATGCAAATCGTCCGGTATCCTTGACATTATTTGACTTCCCTCCCATTGTCATCAAACACCACCATCTAAAGTCAAAAAACTTAACCTTTGAGATGAAGATATTTACTATGGTATCCGTCTTCTTGGTTACTCCTTGAATGCTTCTTATTATTTCGGCCACCTGGATAGACTGTTGGGCTGACTCACTTTATTCAGTGTAACATCCTTAACCGCTGACAACCTCAAACAGCTTCCCGCGACAACTCCCCCAATTTGCCCAAAGCCTAGATGGCCTGCAATAACCTGAGTCATTTCATATGCTTATCCGCGTCTGCTGTCATACGACTTTGGTTGGTGCGCCTGGTGATCATTGGTCAACAGAAAGAAGCCATCAACCCATACTCCGGCATTTGGTATATTGGGTATCGCATTCATGCAATGAAATGAGAGAATGAATGAGGCGCTGGGTCATCAATGTGCCATAAAAAGCTCGGGACATTCGGGAGTGGATACGCAATCCAAAAATTCTAATGGACGGACATATAAAGGTAAAGTGTTAGCCATGCTGAAATGATTTGCTTTGCTTTGCTTTACTTTGCTTTGTTGGATGCTATAGTAAAGTTTTGGTTTTTTGGTTTTTCAATTCCAACTTTGGAACATGCTTTTGGCTTTTCCAAAAATTAATACCGTATCTCGCAACATATTGCCATCGTTCCTAAATCTCCCCACTATCACAATCACGTGGATTCGATACCATTCAATCATGTCTTCCACACAAACTTCACGATCAGGAAGCTGTGAAAGCGAAGTTTGCAGCACTCCATCAACACCTGGAAGAGACACTCAAAGCTCTTCACCACTCGCACATACCTTGAATCAACTTCCAGATATCTTGAGGTCGTGGGTTTTAGCGAGTTCAGGAGAGTCCGATGCAGAATGTTGGGAAAGAATGTTGGCATTGCAGAAGGAATATCATTGCTATCAATCCGCAAGAATGGAAGCAGCTGTCGAGGCTTTAGAAAACGGTTGGCTTATTGAGGAAGTCCCTAGACGTCAGTATACCCTTGAAGTAAAATAAGACGTAAGCTCACACCACCAACAGCATCTCGACTTTGCTTGGATCTTATCAACGATGGTTTGAAGGCTCAAATTCAGACATTCGACACGTTTCAAGGAGACTTGACTCGGTAGAAGGAAGTTCTGATTGCGTCGCGCTATCTATGTCTGATGGAATGATGACGAACATCAGGGTGCAACTTGACGAAATCGCTGGAGTACGGGTTACATTTATTTCAATGGCCGCTGCGAAGGCCAAAGGAATATTGGTATTTTAGCGTTGGCGTTATGGCGTAGATAAATTTGGATATGGATCCAGAAGATATTGGATGGAAATCGATACCCATGTTTGATATTTTATGTCTTGAATGGGGTTATTATTGGGATTATCGGTAATCATGGATGTTAATTATACCAGATTGGTGAAGTTGTTTATACAATGAGCAGTTGCTAATGCTTAATATGCTTAATATGCTACATTTGGAAGATATATGAGAAAATATCCAAATTCGATCAATCGAGCAGTGACTTTTATGCACTTGAACTGAATCTAGCAGGTACATACATTAGTGAAGATGAAATGGGAAGGCATGTTGTAACCTATCACGTGTCTTCTGTTTTAGGCAAGAGTACAGGTTCTCTCCCACAGAAAAACAAATGAAACGAAAAGAAAAGGAAATGAAAAGGAAGAAATCTCCAATGTTTCTTAGATAGTACGCAAAGGAAGGAAAAGAACACTTTGCACCAGCATATCTATTATTCTCACCTATCACACAACATTCGACACTCTTTTGTAGAGATTGAAAAGAATACAAGCATTATGATTAAACCTTCAACTCCGAACGGCATTCGATATTTTTCCATCTCCATCTCCATCTCCATCTCCAGCTCCACATCCTGATCCGAATTGCGAATCTGATGCACGCAATATCGTAGCGGGGGCCCACAAACTATCATTTGGTCCTTCAGGGGAAATTGGATATCAGATCGCCTCTTTCATTCAGCTTCGACTTACTACAAATTAGCTACGGCTGGTCGCATATATTCTATCAACCTCCTGTAATACACACCCGACCGTTGTTTCAATTTCATACGACTTCAAACCCGGTCATGTTCCGAGTAGGTAAGTCGAGGTTTGATATTTTCAGACCTTATTTTCATCTTTATGCTTGAGTACCTGACTGATCATATTCTAGTACATACTAACATGATGAGCCACTTTGTAAATCTGGGTTCAATCGATGTGGCTATAATGATCATGGTGGTATCGGTTTCTTATTGACCAATGGAGATTCTATCTATACCTTTCAAGAAGCTCAATCAACAATAATCTTTCGTGGGGTATCACATAGATACCCGGAAATATGGCCGCCTCGGCTCGGTATTGTGGTATTGTGGAACAACATCACAAATGGACAACATTAGACTGTCCCTATCAGTCTTTGCACCAACAAAAATGGACTATAGCGAGGAATTTGATATCCTATTATTTGAAATCAGGTTTTGGCTATCCTTCAATAGCAACAATGAGTTCTCAAAGGTACCAGTATCATTACTTACTCAGCCCTGCGAGTTCACTTATTGTGGGAGCTCCCCCGCGATATAGTCATGATCAACCACCCATGTTTCTGTGACCCCCACCATATCAGATACTTTGTACTCGTACATTAATTATCAAAGCTTATTGTGACCTCGGGACCACCGGCACAGAATTGAAGCAGACATATTCCAAAATCATTTGAACTAAACGCGGGACACCCTCCAAAAAAAGAACACCAAAACAGAGATCCTTCCAGACTCTCCCTCTCCCCCTCTCTCTCTCTTTCAAAGGATCTTTCATTGTCATTGATAGTCTGAAGAAGACGGGGTGCACAAAGTTACCATTTCGCGAAATAAAGCTAATGGATGGCAGGCGGAGGATTATTGGAAGACTGCCAATCATATACTCCGCATGCAATGAGGCATCCCCCAGCAGCATGGCAATGATATTGTCCTGTAGATAACCGCAGAAGCGCCTCGTGGCAAAATTTGATATCAACAACGAGTTCTCCTCATAAGGGAGCTTTTTGCGTCTTGTATTTCTTCAATTCCGCCAAGAAGATGGTACTGCTCTTTCCAAGTCATACCCAAATATGATCTGTCACATCAACGGAGATATCTGGAATTCGTTTCTGCCGTCTAGATGATTCATGCTTTGCAAATGTCATCTGTCGCTATACAACATTGTTCTTGTCCAGACAAACTGCAAACCGGGCCCCGTCCGACTACCTAGGTGACCAGAAATAATTTAACCACACGATACTGCACAATCCGGATACAAACCAAGACTTCAGATTGCCTCGATGATCTTTCAAGGCACAAATAAGGCTTGTCTCACTTGATATCTTCTGCCAAAGAGACTTCGATAAGGAGCCTCGTCACCACGCTATACCCTAGCAGCAGCACAAGATTGCAAGGATAGCGATAAAGCTATTATTACTTACTCTATTCGACAAATTCTATACCTTGCGCTATCAAGTAGTTCATGCGATTCAAGATTGCTTTTGATACTCTTGAGCCCACTAAATCGTCTCCAGGACTTTCTGTCTCACCCAAGCGATCAGTGAAAAGTGGAATATTTGCTTGTTAATTGGGGGTTCCCTCGTTTTTCGCCCCTCGCCATCCCATCCTCCATACCGCTATCGCACCACTTCTAATAAATCATATACAGGTTGTTATCGCTAACTTGCCATCGACCAATCATAGCAACCTTGTCTCTGCACTCGGTCCATACCGATTTGGATACCTTCTGGAATCTCCAGCCATGGAATACAGAAGAAGTTCCATGGTTCTGAACCGAAAGCAACAAGCTAGTACAAACCCTCAGATATATGCTAGCTTCGCTGGTGCTGGTGTCCTCCGGACCTCAAATGGAATTTTGGACGACATGCCTACAATGTGGTGGGATGAGGACAGAATCCAGGCTACCGTTACACGACAATTCGTGTCATCAAAATTACGTCCAGACGAGCAAGAACGTCTAGACGAGCCATTGGGTTTTGGTGATGGTTTGACCGACGACACGTATATGGAATGGATTGAGGAGAAGGCGAAAAAGATATTCTTGATCTTGGTGGACTTGGGTGTGCCAGATCAAATATTTGGTGTCATCGATGATTCTTGGGGCGATGATGATTTACCAATACCCATGGACCAAGTTGGGAGACTACAATTGACCTACGACAGAAACGAAAAGCTAGAGAAGAAGTTTTTCCAGCTCCAATTTAACTATCTACTAAGATATAATGCTAAAGGCGAACACATTTACTACGATGATGTAGAGGTTGTACCGCTGGAGCCAGTAGAAAAAAGACCCGCTGGATCAGTAACTAGTCTCCTTCCGAATAGTGTTGATAAAGTCTATTTACCTGGCAGACCAGACACTGTCTTTCTACGTCGACGGATACCCTTGGGTACCTCGCCCGAACAAATGCTGCATGAAGAATTTCTCTCGGGTATTGAATCCATGAAAGGGGTCGAACATGTACATCTCACTTCATTATGGGCTTCTTATATCCACCAGGATAAAGGCTACTTACTTCTGACTCCAGCAAACGTCAACTCGCTCAAATCCTTTCTCACAATAACTCCCCAATCTTTCAAGATTCTAGCCAAACAAGACCGCCGTATTCGTATCCTGAACTGGCTTCACTGTCTAGCCGGGGCTCTGTCCTTTCTCCACAAAATTGGTCTTTCGCATCGCAACATCAAGCCATCAAACGTGATGCTCGACCTTGACAACCACATCTTCCTAGGTGATTCTGGCGTTTTCCCTACCCAAATCCCTACTGGGGAGAAATGTGGATTTGATAAAGAGACTTATGATTACTCCGCCCCAGAACAGAACCCTTGCACGATGACTTCTACTTCTAGTCTACCCAATACCCGGTCGGTACCATCGCGACCACCGGCATCTAGCAGGTCAGCGGGTGTCCCGAGTGATTCCGTGTTCCAAACCGCTTCAAGGTCTTTACCAAATGATTCATCATCTATTCGTACAACTTCAACTGGTTCGCAATCAGAAGGCTCAGGTCCAAGACAGACTAGTAGAAACAGCAAAACAGGCAGACATGACCCCCAGAAAGCTGATATCTTTTCTTTAGGGGCCATCTTCATCGAAATCATCACATTTCTTATGAAGCGAGCCACAAGAAATTTTGCCTCGCACCGATCATCAAAAAATAAAAGCCCGGGTCGCGGTGGTGGGATTCCCGATGCCAGCTTTCATAAAAACTTGGGACAAGTAGAAAGCTGGATGAATACACTTCTCAAAGACGCCACAAAGAAGGAAGACAGAATCTTTAGAGGCGTTTCTCAATTAATTGCGCTCTCCCAACGGATGCTCGCGCCAGATCCGAATGAAAGACCAACAGCAGCTGAAGTTCAAGAAAGAATTTACGCGATTTTGACAGAGAATTGTGGCCTAAAAGATGATCCCTCAGACGACAGTCCGGAAGGAGGAGAAATGCATTGTGAGACTCGAGTTACCGAAGATCAGTGGAATTTTGGATTCGATCAACTACGCCTAGCAAGTCAAAGAGCCGCGGCAGAAGCTTGCGCTTCGGTGGCGGGAAATACGACGGGAAATTTACCGCTCGGTAACGGAGGTGTAATATATGGAGTGGAAAGGGTGGCAACGGTAGTGAACAACGGAGTCCCTCTTTCATCAATGGGAGGAAGAGAAGGAGATCGCGTTAGCATCAATACGAAAACGAGCAGCGGAAAAAGTAGCGACGGGAAAGGCAAGGGCGCCGGGGAGGGAAAAGTAAGGCCTAAAGCTAAGGCTTGGCAAGCTCCTGTATATGCGGGTAAGTTCTCATCGAGCGGTTATCGTTCATGCTAGTGTGCTTATACTAACAACTGCCGGATAGAGCTTAGCTTCGGTTAAGCCCCCTAACAGCCAACTCCCAAAACGATCTCGACTGCGGGTACATGCGCACCCGTGGGGTTAATAGCGGATAATAATGACATGCAATTATAACGATGGGATATGAATTACATGATAATTAGGTTGGGAAATGGGAAAAGCGGGCTTGATAGGTTGATACGGACGGAGGGGAATTTGTGGTTACATGTGCATATTATTATATTGCTTGCTGCCAATGGTTTCTGCGATGCGATAAATTAGGCGCCTGTTTTTCTACTTTTCTTTTTGGGAAATACATACTTCAGCAATAGATGGAAATTAATGCGATGAAGCCGGTACGATACGATACGATACGATACGATACGCGATTCTTCAGCTAAGAGTCTAAGACATACATAGGTACATACCTACTATACAGTACAGCCAGCCGCAAATAAATAGATATTGAACTATTGGCAGGGCAGGGCAGGGGGAAAATGGAGAATCTGGGTGGGTGGATAAAGATGACTAGTCAGTTTGATCAAGATATTAAAAACGGAAAATGGAAATCTGAATCGAAATGGGAGTTGGTATTCGTGATATTGAAACTCACTCCCAACTCAATCACCCCTCCCAGTTCCGTTTCCATTCCATTCTATTCATTTTTTCCTACATCTACATCATCTATCTTCTCATGTCTCATGTCTCATGTCTCATGTCATGCTCGGTCTTGTCTTTCTTGTTCATCTGATATCTGATAATACCTATACTGCGAATCTTATGCTTATGCTTATACTTAATTAAGCCTTTTTCTCCCATGCATGAGCGTATATACAAATCCAACATGACAATCTTCTATCTCCTATCCCTATAGAGTAGAATCTTCAAAGTTTAGACTTAATAGACACTCCCCTCGATACTTTTGTCCAACTTCTCAGCTTGTTGAATCTCGAGAAGTTCGGGGCTCGGCTCACCGCCTTCATCACTCTGTGCTCCCGCATCATCATCTCCATCTCCATCTCCATCATCACTTTGATCGCCCAACGCGTCAGCCTTGACTCCCTTTCCCATTCCATCCGATTCTTCCCTCGTCAATTTTCGCGGTAGGACGGAAATCCCCAATCCGTTGTTACCGCTCCTTCCTCTCGCTAGTCTCTTCCTCGCATCTTCTTCTGCGCTAAATTCCGCATCGCTATTAGCACCACTGGCGCTTCCGCCGCCGTCTCTACCCCCGTGGCGTATGCCAAGTAAATCATTGGGACTCCGAATGCGACTGCGCAACCGGTCTTCTATGCTTATGAAACTGGGCGTTCCGTCGGGACTACTCACTGTTTCTTCGAGACTTTTTTGGACATCTAGATTAGGCGGACCGGGTTTACCTCTGGGATCGTCGTCCTCTTCGTCAGAGAAGGATTGCCAGCGACGGGCGGCTGGTCGACGGGCCGCGATGGTTTCTACGTGTGTCAATGAAGTAGATGCTGAGATATTTTGGCGACCGTGAAGTTGCATAGCATGCATAGAGTTTTCTTTTTTGTAGTAATGTTTTCCATGATCGCATCCGTTGGGACAGCCACCCCATTTTTTGTGTGTTGGTACAGGACTTGAAGACCCTGCAGGAGAGCGACCTGCCCCTAGCAATTTACCCTCCTTCTCCTTCTCCTTTTCAGAGGCTTGCCCATTGTCAGGCGTAGAGGGAGAGGGTTTGGCTGCGGCGGCAATAGCAAGACGTTCTTGCTTTAGCTGAGACCATGTGCGTAGTTGATTCTCCAATATGTATTTTCCGGAATCGTCTGATTTGCGCATGATGAGAAATTCGCAGTGATTGACATTTCGAAGATCTTCGAAATATTCAACAGAGAAATGGTACCATTTCATCAGAAAGACGCGGGACATGAGTCCATGAGTCACTATCATCCCATCATCTCAGCGATGTCATTAGAGAGATCCATAGGCAAACATACCTAAAACACAAACGCTTGCGAAATCATCATCTCCAAATTGTCTCCATAGACTCTCATTAAACCCGCTCACTCTATCATATGCATCCGCTGCGCTCTCTCCATTGGGGATTCTGTAGAAAAAGTGACCATAATCTGCTCGTTCCTGCCACATTCTTTCCATTTCCGCACTACATGGTTGGAAATTACCAAAGTCCTGCTCACGCAGGCGAGGTTCCTCGTATACTTTGATAGAATGTCTGGGAAATGGTGAAGGGCTTGGGGAGTCGGAGGTCAGGGTGGACAGAATACCCTCTGTAGTTTCGCGAGTTCGTCGATAGGGAGAGGTGAAGAAGTGCAGCTTATCATCTGGGCGAAGGAGATTTCGCAGTTGTAAGCCAGCTTCATGCGCTTGCGTCCAGCCTTCGGGGGTGAGCTTTACTCTGTGATCCGGGATGGTTTGGTGAATGTCGCGGTTCTCTGTACAGGTTAGCTAGATATCCAAAACAAGGCTGACAGCCTCGTGGACAAGGAGAAGTGTGGAATCATTACTATTTCCCTCAGATTGAGCATGTCTGATCAAGATGATCATGCGAGGTTTTCCCATATTGGCGATCAATAATCAGTCCTTCGTTCCAAGCGGTGGCTTCTATTATTCTGTACGAAAAGAGTTTGGGATGCAATAGAACGAAATCTGAGGAAATGGTTGTATTCTATGTTGTCCCAAGAATAACAAGGGGTCTTGTCTGTAACAATGCCGAGAAAGAAGTACTGTGTGAGTGTTTCAAATTGCCACTGCTCATTTGTTATCGTCTTATCTTCATTGGCCTAATCAATATTTTGTCCAAACATGAGAATGGCATTCAAAATTTGGCGGGGCTGTAGTAAATTAGTCAGGGGGCTACCGAGAACAAGGCTGTAGGCTGTGGCTCGTGTGGTCAAAACCTTGTCCATCAAAACTTAAAATTGTTACTGGAGCTGCTGTCAGTATTGCAATACAAACCCAATATTGGCATTACAAGAAAAAGCCTCTACGCAATAGATCTTAGTTAACGGTATCGCATCCCATCTCGTATCAGTTCATACATATCGTACATATCGTACATATTATCACATCAAAGCTTCCCCAATCATGTCAGAAAACGTCCCCGAATCAATTCCCACCTCCGCAGACCCTCGTTCCAAGCGGCCCCTCAAACGTCGCGCGATTTCTCCGCGCTCCGAAACCGCCTCTCAGATCGACAAATTGATGACCGCACCCGATCGCGATATCAAAATCCCATCCTCGACTTCCCTAGCCGTGAAGCGAGAGGGGGGCACAAATGTTCCCGAGATAGTGCAGAATGTGCAGGGAAGTTCTGCAGGAGCGGGATCTGGAGAGTTTCATGTGTACAAAGCCAGTCGGAGACGGGAGTATGAGAGATTGAAGGGGATGGATGAGGAGGTTAGGCAAGAGGAAGAAGCGGAGAATTGGGAGAGGGAAAAGAGGGAGAGGGAGGAGAAAGATGCGGTGAAGACGAGGAAGGCTAGGGAGAAGAGGGAAAAGAAGAGAAATAAGACAGGTGGTAAGGGCGACATATCTGGTGCTGGGGCACAAGCAGGAAAGGTGAAGCCTAGAATTGAGGCAAATGCTAGAGAAAATGATGCAAATGAGGACGTTGGAACAAACAGTGTTGGGGAAGCACAAGAACAAGTCGGAGTCATCATCCATGACGATGATTGATGGATACCGGTCATTACGGGAACTCAACTTCAGCAATCGTTTCAGATTCCTGCACGGACAAGAACATTTACAGCTGTTAGAAGAGTGGCCAAAATGGGTGTATTGGCTTGATATCTATTCGTTGGTCATGAACATGAACATGCATTCGTTAACCGTGAGCTCTATGCTATGGTTACAAGGGTATGCTCAACCATATTATCATCACTTTTTTATACACTAACATTGGAAGATTTATTCCTCTCCACCGCCGCCGGGTGCACCACCTTGTCTTGCGGCTTTTGCGCTGCAAATATCATCAACTCTCAGGAGTAGGCACGCGGACTGTAAGATAGATTAGTCATAATATCGGAATTAATACGCATATGATCACATACCTCAACTGCAGTCTTGATACTTTGTAATTTGACTGCCTCTGGCTCCCAAACACCATACTCATTCATATCAGCCAAAGTACCCTTGTCACCATCAATACCCCATGAACTTCCACCTTCGGCATGCTTTGCTCTCAATGCAGTGAGGACTCTAACCGGACTCTGTCCAGCATTTTGAATCAAAGTTCTTGGGATGACTTCCATAGCTTCGGCGACAGCCTTGTATGGCCATTGCTGTACACCCTCAATACTCTTTGCGAGTTGACCTAATCTGACAGCTACAGCCATTTCAGTAGCACCTCCTCCTGGCGATAATCTGGGGTGGAACATAACATTTCGTGCAACAGCCATGGCGTCGGCCAAATTTCTGTCAATCTCATTCAAGATATCCTTAGATGGACCTCTCAGTAAGATAGTACATGCCTTTGGCGATGTGCACTTGGTCAAAAATGTGAAGTATTCGTCACCAATCTTTTCAATCTCGAAGAGACCACACTGGGTACCAACGTCGGATTCTTGGAGATCGTCTACTCTGTTGACGACAGTTGCGCCAGTTGCACGAGCTATTCTGTTGTTGTCTGTCTTTCGGACACGACGGAGTGCAGTAATGTTACCCTTCATCAGGTAATGTTGTGCGAGATCTAGAATCAATGAGCCAACTAAATCATAATCATCAAGGGAGTTTACATACCAGAGACACCCTTCTCAGTGATAACTAAATCTGGCTTAAGAGCAAGAATGGCATCGCACATAATCTTGACCTGCTCCTCCTCAATTTGCAAAATCTTGTTCCAGTCGTTCTCTTTGCTGATCTCAATGTTCGTCTGTGATTCTCCCTTCTTATATTCCAAAGTGCAATCTAACAGGATAATTCTTGGGTTCTCGATTCTCCGTCTCATCTTTGGGTGTGTAATATCTTTGTTGAGCATAACACCATCCAGAACTCTGCTGTCCTCAATTTCTCCACCCGGAATCTTCTCAACTCTTGCATAACGCTTGATATCGACTTCTTTCTTGCCACCTCCGATTTCGTGGGTTACTGTTCGTACAGCCTTAAGTGCTAGGCTGCACATAAGTTCAGACCATCTAGAAACGAATTTTGTGCCGATCGAGGATGAGATAAGTTGGTACATGGCTTTGTCATCGTTGATATCGACTGGGAGAGAAATTTCTTCAATGACCTCGAGGGCATCTTTCAGTGCGGCCTTGAAAGCGGAAATAATGACGACAGGGTGGATATTTCTCTCAAGTTGTGGGAGAGACTGTGCCAAAATCTCACCAGCTAGAGGATATTAGCCTAGTCCTTGTAAATTCTCAAATTATCGCATACCAAGAATAATAACACTGGTAGTTCCATCCCCAACTTCCTCATCTTGTGTTCTGCTCAACTCAATCATACTCTTTGCTGCAGGATGTGACACTTCGATTTCTCTGAGAATGGCATGACCGTCATTTGTCAAAACGATACCTCCCATAGGGTCTAACAACATCTTCAGCATAGCTTTTGGACCTAAACATGATCGAATAATATCTGCGACACTGTTATGTGTCAGTTCTGACATGTTCAAATGGCGGGGTGTTCGAGGGGTGCTGTGGAGAGCTCATACGTTTTGGCAGCGGTGATATTCGACATCTGAGCTTTCCGGCCTGTCTGCCTATCACCACTCTTGGTATCTGAAAGCTATAATCAGCACTCCGGTCATTTTGAGAGGGGGAGGGGTAGCGGGTAGAAAAGCTTCAAAAACTTCCAAGACTTACTCATTACTACTACCGGCGCCTGCATCTTGGATAGATTTCTTATTTATCTGCCGTGAAAGTGTGATATTAGAGATCAAGAAACTCGGTCAACAAAGCGTATTTGTGTATTGGTGAATGTGGTAGTGCCGTTTGAATAAGTTTCCACTGAACTGCGCGTTTGATATCGCGTCTCGACAAATTTCTTGACGCATTGTGCACGGACCACCTTAGATTTCTGATTGTCGTCGCCTGAGAATATATGAATATATCCTTAACAATCAACATCCACTCACATAAATTTTTCAAATTGGCTGGTCTTCACAAGTGTAGTTGACCAAGAAATCCCTTCTGAGAGTCTAATTCGATTACTTTACTATTATTACACATTCTAGATAATAGCAAGTGCTATGTATTTGAATACCGAATACAAAGGGGTCAATTCTCCAAGTCCGTTTGATGTACGGTTATAGGTAGAGAGAGAGAAGTGATCTCTCTTTACTTTAGAATTATCTTCACTGGATTTGGCTCACAAACTCTAATCCGCCGAATAATACAATCTTATCTCACCACACGATCCCATTTCCGCAGATCATCTACAAGTCCATATCCATGGGCCTCGCTCAACTCGTTCTCCCCAGGACAATCATACTCTCTCGGATAGACGTCTAGGACAGATGCCTTCTGTTTAGCTACTGTTTTTGGACTAGCTTCCGATGAGTGACTACTTGGAGCCTTGCTTGTAAGACTACACGTTAGAATAAAACGATGGTTACCAATCTATGCTCCTCAGTTGATTATGTAATTGATTCATGTCCTATGAGTGATGCAAAAAATACGTAGCCATATATTCTCATACATTCCTCATACAATCTTCATACTATCTTCATACTATATCCCCTTGAATTCTGCGGGGGCCATTCACCTTTCTAATGCTAAAAGTATGAAATAATCCTGCCCTCTATCTGAATGCCCAATCAAAGGCGAGAAGATTCCGTGATTCATGTTGATAGGCTAGTTGGGTATATAGACGGGTAGAACTTTCTTCACAATGCAACTTTATTTCTCAAATCTAACCAACACACCTTGACATCATGAGCAAACTTGCATCGGCGCAAGTGGCTATTTCTCAAGGGAAATTAGCTGTGATAGTTGGATTCAAGCCCGTGTCCGATTTCATCAAATACGATCCTTCTTTCAACCAACAAAACCATTTCCCTCCCGGCCCGCGCCAATCGCAAAGAAAATTCACACTATTCCTACAGCTACCAACAGAGCTACAACTCCTGATATGGAACCACGTCTTGCTGGACCGCGAAGCACGACTCATCATCGTCAGATCTACAAATATATGTGCCGTTCTTCCAGGCGGGGAATTCGAAACCCCAGTATTATACCAAGCAACCGCATACAGCGATATCCCGCCCACCTTACAAGTCTGCCATCTATCTAGGACCGAAGCTCGCAGACATTATAGCCTGTGCTTTCAGCAAAATCTAGTTCATCCTGTGTATTTTGACCCGCGGAAGGATTTTTTGGTCATGGAGGGCGCGAAGGCTTTGGAAAGCTTTGTGGATCATGGTCTTAGGCATGAAAAGTCGGCGGATGATCGTTCGAGTAGATTGGCGGGCATAGTTGTCGGAAATGGTTGGAGGGGTGTCGAATTCCTGTAGATGGAATGGCACCATCTCATAAGCATATACGTTGGAAGGTGTATCCTACCATCATGTATAGCGATACTCAAATCTGAACCATGATCTTTACTGATATATACAGCTAGTGACTGTTAGTTCAATGTATTCGAGCTGATGGCTACTGATTATACTCGAGTAGAAGCGTTTTGCTAATCGTCTAAAAATTTGCTAGCGAAGGTTTTGTTCATATATAATACTTCTGTGAGCTTGATTTGAATTCTCTACTAATTATAGCACAACTTCTCTGTAAGAATACCTTTTAGCGTTGAAAATAAGAGTATTTAGAAGTATCCTTATATCAAGGTATAGAACCTATCATTCTAGTACTACTCATATAGTAGGCCCCCAATATAACTAATCATGTACCAATATTTAATTTCCTGAAACCTCTACTCCTGTTATATCCAATTAATCTCCAAGCAAAGCAAAATCTTCAAGTCTAACAGCACCACTTAGGAGGATACCTTTATACTATCAACAAATAATATAAAAATCTCTAATTGAAAAGTGTATGTTTTGATATAGAATAGGCCTTCGCCTAATAGCAGTTGATGGTTAATGTGATATCTTCTCTCTAGAATAGGTAAAAATCGCAAATGTCGCAAATTCAAATCAATTGAACAAAAATCACAATGATCAATTATTCAGATGTGCAACAAAACTTTTTCTTTGTTTACTATCTAGATATAACTATAGGGTAGATAGGTCAAAAGTGAATTAATCACAAGTGAATGGTGAAGATGAGGGATGCGAGGCTTCACTCTTCCTACTTCATTCACCCCTTCCTATACTAGGTATATATGTACTTTATCTATCACGGCTATAATATCAAGCGCCAGAGTCTGCATATTGGTATTCATCTATCTACGAGTATACGCATCGATATAAATGTATTTATACAACCACCCATAACAACAAATCACAACGACGACTATCCATCCCATCCCATCCCATCCCAGTCTTCCAATTTCAACCTAAACCCAGAAAACACCCCCTAAAACACCTCCATAAGCGACTCCTCAGGCAGTATACCGATACATGTACATATACTTGAGTATTATATATATATATCCCTTGCTCTGAGCAGGACTGCCAGCCAGCCAGCCATTACTACACTGACAAATTTGGGTGTCTCCCTCCTGTAACTTCATATATATATCACTTGTAAAGCTCTGGATGGAATTGAATTGCTCCAGGTGAAGTGAAGATTCTGATTCAATGTCCTTTTTTGATGTAACTACCTACTTTCGCCTTAAATAATAGGTTGATATCCTCTGGAATCTTACTACATACAGTACACAATATGATAGCACTTGCCCAATTCGTCTGATGCACTCAAGCAAAGTAAATATATACTCAGTTGAAGTTCAGCGCCCACCATACCATGTAGCGATAGTATTCCATTTCATTCTCATATCTCCATTTTCTATCTTCCTGTCGAACATTGTAATTTGAGGTATTCCAGAACCAACCATACCTAGCCTCTCTAAACGCCTTGCGAATGCATGCCACCAGATACCTTGACTCCGCACCTGTGAAAGCTTTTCCTAGCAAATCATACACAATATTACTTTTCGTTTGCCAAAACCATCTTCTCTCTCTCTGCTCGTCTCTTTGAGAACTGTTTCTTGGTATGCTTGCGTTCATTCTCTTGTTTGCGCTTGATGGCCTTGAGTTCTTCGGATTTGATCTCTCCAGCTTTCTGGATAATCCTGGGAACATGTCTGTGACGATTGATCCGTCTAATCTCGGGCATATGAGCAAATCGCGCCGACAATGCCTCGTTATATTCCAAAGCTGTTCGTTGTTTTGCTGATTTGATTCCTTCTCTCTTCGAGGAATTGCCCCTCCATAGACGAATATTGCCGTCATCAGAGCCGGAAAGGATGAATTTCGAGTCTGGTGTCCATCTTGCTGAAAAGACTCTCTGCATGCGCTTGGTGTGGTAAATATCTCGCGAGTGTCCCTTAGTCCTGCTCCATAATCTGACTGTTCTATCGTATGATGCTGTGACGAGCTCCTCACCAGTGGGACTAAACTCTACGTCCATACAAGCGGCGACATGTCCCTTAAGAACGTTTAATGCTCTATCCATCTTTCTCATATCGAAAATGTAGACGTTGTGATCTTCGTTGGCTACCGCAAAATTGAAAGCTTCCATAGGGTTCCAAGATATAGCATTCGAGGCAAAATTGAGAAGGGTCTTGTGAATTGGAAGTCCAGTTCGAAGATCATATAATACGACCGACCTATCCGTAGCAGTGGAAGCAAGTATAGAAGTTTCGACCTGATTGAAAGCTACCGTAGTAATAGTATCCGTTGAAGTTGGCCATTTTAGCACATCAGGTGGCGCATTCTGTCTTTCGAGATCGTATATTGAGATGACTCCAGATGCTGCTGCGAACGCGTTTTTGGAACGGTGATGCGACATACTTGTAAAAGCATTCGCTCCTAACCATGTTGCCACAGGCGCTGATCCAGTAGTCGTATTATAAGGGTCGAAAAGCTTGATTGATCGATCACTTGCGCAAGTTAAAAGTTTCTGATCCCTCGTCCAAGTCATTCCTTTGATTATATTCTCATGCGCACTGGTTTGCCAGACCTCGTCCCGAGAGACTAAATCCCATACCTTCACGACACCATCACCACTGCCACTTGCGAATCTTTCAAGAGCATTAGGATCCTTCGCCATTGTGTAGACTCCATCGACATGTCCTTTTCCTAGTTGCGCGATGAAAGGAGCGGCGAACATCCTATCCATTTTGGTGGCATTGAGAGCACGGGTGTATTCTCGCGCTCTTTCGAATGGATGTAATGCTGGGTCTAATAAGAAGTATCAATCTCTGCCTCCAATGTCTTCCATAGAGTTGTTATACATACCAAGGTTGCGGGGTTGTTTGGCTTCAGACCCTGGGGCCTGAATAGACTCCCGACTAAGTGCTTTAATTTTCTAAAGAACAATTGAATTAGCAAAAGATGTACGAAGGTAAAGAATGATAGCTCACCATATTGAAATCAGTATGTTGCTACCATTTTTGAATAAAGTAAGTTATATCCAAAAGATTTGCGGTCATGATAAAATATCTTGGGGCCAAATAAAATTTTGCAGGGGTTACATTTTTAGCGCGGTTTCCACAAGCTCCAGGTTCCTAGCGGGCTATCGTAATGGCGAGTTTACCTAGAAATGCGCGATTCCTTATACCTTTACATTCAAACTCAACTCAACTTCACAACTTCCCCGAACCTTGATTTCTACAATTATCAATCATGGCACCAGCAGAATCGTTGAGGATACAAGAAGCCCAAAAGTTGGCAAAGACAGATCCAAGAAAGGCAGAGGCAGAATACAAGGATATCATCTCTAAACCTCCTTCAGTAACCTCAGAAGCTTCTATCAGAGAATATGAGGTTGCGTTGGTTAGCTTAGGAGAAGTGTATCGAGATGAGAAGTAAGTAGTATACATCGCAGGGATTACTTCGCTGTAGGGTAGTTGCTAACACATGTATAGGAAAGCGGATAAGTTGGTAGATCTGATCACAACAAGCCGGACGGTATTATCATCATTCGCAAAGGCCAAAACAGCAAAATTAGGTACGAAGAAGACCATGGGGAGCTTCCATACCTGACAGATAATGTTTGATATCATTGAGCTGCTAGGACTTTTCTAACAAGACTTCACTCCAGTGCGACAACTTCTAGATCTATTCAATGCCATCCCAAACACAACCGATACCCAAATTACCGTCACAAAATCATGCATCGAATGGGCCACATCTGAACGTCGTGGTTTCCTGAGACAGAATCTTGAAACTCGTCTTGTTAGCCTTTACATGATTAAGCAATCTTACTACGATGCCCTCACCCTGATCAACAGTCTCCTCCGCGAACTCAAGCGTCTCGATGACAAGCTCGTCCTCGTTGAAGTCCAACTCCTCGAATCTCGCGTGTATCACGCTTTAGGAAACACAGTCAAAGGCCGCGCCGCACTTACCGCCGCTCGAACAAGCGCTGCTTCCGTGTATACCCCTCCTCTACTCCAGGCCGGACTCGATATGCAATCTGGCAAACTTCACGCCGAAGAAAAAGATTTCACTACCGCATTCTCCTACTTCATCGAAGCGTTAGATGGATATCACACACAAGACGAACCGGAGAAAGCCACCGCAGCTCTCCAATATATGCTCCTTTGTAAAATTATGCTCAACCTCGCCGACGATGTCAACCAACTCATGACCTCCAAACAAGCCATCAAATATGCAGGCAAGAACCTGGAAGCCATGAAAGCCGTCGCTCGTGCCCACTCCAATCGTTCTCTAGAAGAATACGAAAAAGCCCTCGGTGATTACCGCCACGAACTTGGCTCCGACACCTTCATCCGCAACCATCTCCGCCGTCTCTACGATGCCATGTTGGAGCAAAATCTCATCAAAGTAATCGAGCCCTTTTCCCGCGTCGAAATCGCCCATATTGCCAAGATGGTCGGTCTCGATACGCAACAGGTAGAGAGAAAGTTATCGCAGATGATTCTCGATAAAGTGATTATTGGGGTGTTGGATCAAGGAGCTGGATGTTTGATTATTTACGATGAGACGGAGAGAGACGTGGGATATGATGCTGCGTTGGCGACAATCGAGAAGTTGAGCAGTGTGGTTGATGTGCTTTATACCAATCAAGCGAGTATGCTAGAATAAGCCGGTGGGTCACAGGTTAGATGGCAGATAATGCATACTTGTATCATAGAGGCGCGCAAAGATCGAAAGAGGGCAAATGAAATGATACGATCTGACATATAATGGTCCCTAACTCAAAATGTCACCATGCGCATTTTCATATAGGATCAGCAAAGTGAGCACAAACAAAACAAAAACACGAATACAGTAGAAATCCCAACCCAATTTATTTAACTTTAACTCCCTTTTCATGCTGTCATAAAATGGCTGGCTTTTTACAATAATATATCCTATCCTATCCTATCCCACAATTTAAAACTCCTGTTTTTTCCCTCAATAACCAACCCAAAGAAGAATGCCCCGCACCCCTCCCCTCTCGCTTATGCTCCTAAAATCATGCTAACCAGGTATCCGTCCATACATCCATACACACAGCACCCATCCTATCAATCAATCAATCCTTGAATCCCAATCCAAACATAAGATATGGTCCTCGACTCCCTCCTCGATGGGTTCCAAAAATACACAGACATACATGTTTATTTATTCATTCACAGAATAGAATAGAAGAGAAGGGAAGAGAGCAGAACAGAGCAGAACAGAGCAGAACAGAGCGGAATAGAACAAAACAAAAGGAATGGGGAGTGTTTGATGCACTGATGTGATGGCATCGCTCTTTGAGAAGAGAGGGGAGGGAATCATCAAGCCGGAATTAAAACGACATATTCATATCCAAAAGCAAATTCCCAATGTGAATGAGAACGAATCTCGGTGGTGAATAGGAAGTTCAGGGAAGGAAAGGAAAGGAAAGGCAAGGGGATGAAGATTAAGCCCCAACCCCCCTCTTCCTCCTCTCCTCGCCCACCAAAAGAGCAAAGACCCTCTTCGCCACCACCTCCTCCTCCCACCCTGGCACCTCTCCTCTAAATTCATCGACTGCCTCTAGATGCCACTGTTCTAACCTCATGCGTTCATTTCCAATCTCCACTCGTGATTTCGCATTTCTAAATTCCCTCACCCCACCATCACCAATGCCTACCCCTTTATCCTTGAGATTAACCGTTTTCCCCAATAATATACTAATAACCCTCGTGGAGTTTCTTCTTCCATATTTAGAAGTTTCGCTGGGATTATGGGAATCGGAATCTTTATCGTTTGGATTTTCGGGTTTCCAGGTTTGCAAGATGGAATCGAGGAGGAGCCAGTGATCGCGCGTCCAGTGGGTAGGAGATAATTGGGGAGTCAGAGGCGAACTAGATCGGGGAGAGGAAGAAGCGAAGACGACGTTTTTGCTGGGGGACGGTTGAAAAGAAGGGGTGAAGGAGCGTTGGGGTGAGCGGAGGATAGATTTCGTGGGGGAGGCGGGGATGGGAGGTTCGAGACGATGTTCTGTCCATTTCGGTTTAGGGTTGCGGAGCTCGCGATTCTCTTTGGTTTTAGAGGGCATGGAAGTGTTAGATGTTGGGACTTGGGAATACGAATGCTGGATTGTCTCTGGTTGGACAGATTGAGCTTTGAGCTTGTTGCTCCTGCTTGGTGACGTATTTGTCAGGGTACCGACCAAAGATGATGATGATGCATCTGGAGTTGGCAGATTGGTCCTGACAGCTCCCAGTTTTCCGAAAATGCCTCTTGACGGTGCCTTTGGTTGAGAAAATTTTGAAGCTAGCGGTGCTGCACCGCTCTTACAGACTCGAGGCTGGAAGCCCATTTTCTGAGGGATTGGTGCAAATGAGCTCGTTTCTTCCTCGGTATCGCCAGATGAGCTGTCTCGAGATGCTGTAGAATATGATTTCCGAGGAATTGGCACGTCTTTAGGTGGTGGTTCTTCAGTAATCGGCCCCCTTTCTCTGTTAGAAAGAGTTGGGAGTCCCCCAAATGGTGATGATCGTAAAAGTGCAGAGATATCAGCTCTAGCATTGCTTATACTACGGAGTATAGGCTGAAAGTTCTGTTTCTGGGGTATCTGCCATCCAGACAAGTCAAGAGTCTCGTCGCCATTAATTTGAGGATCGATTTGAGGTTTGTTTCTTACATCAACCTGCTTTGGAACACATTTTGGTGAGGGCTCTTCGATCGAGGGATCCTGTGCGTTATGATCGGGAGAGCTACTAAGCTCGTCACTATAAATCAAACGCTTGTTACTTGTTCTCCACGGGCTAGGTATTTTGCTTCGTCTAGGTCTTTCGACGTTGCTGGATCTATCGGAATGAAGCTGATCTTCCTGATTGGAGGCATCAAGCGTCTCTAGTAGAAGTCCAAAGCTTTCATCGTCTTCATAGCCTTCTTCGTCTTTATAGCCTTCTTCGGCTTCATTCTTGGTATCCTCTTCAATAGTGGCATCCTGCTTTTCAGGCGCAGTTTCTTGCTCCTCTCCTGAAGCCGGATCGTTATCCTCGTAATCGTCTTCCTCATCATCGTCATCGTCATTGTCGGAACTAAGAACCATGACTTCATTGGTATCAGCTGTAGAGATTCGTTTGCTGATCGCAGCTCGTTCCGCAGCCCACTTCTCGTTCAAAGCACTCAAAGTACCTCTTGCATCACCGCCTTTCTTCTCCTTTGATGATGACCGCGTGACTGATTTTTCAACGGCTCCTTTACGGCTAGTCTCTTCGGGTTGCGAATTCAGAGAACTGATAGTTTTTGATGACTCGTGCTGAGGGATAACTGCCGCATTTAGAGAGACCGACATACGACGGCTGCTAGGTAGCTCAAGACTGAAACTTTGCGTTTTGTCTGTAGACGCACGTTGTTGTATTGCCCCGTTATTGACATTTGTGTCTTCATCAAGAATGGGCCTACTCCAGCTTCTTGTTCGCGAATGGTGCGAAATTAGATTGCCACTAGGGTCCAATCTTGGGAGCGGTTTTTGAGTTTGCTCACCAGACATGGAACGATTAGCGTTAGCATCTGGATATACGCTTGAACTCGATCTTCTCCCTGTTACCGGGCTCTTGAAAGGACTAGCTAGACTCTCGGATCTACTTCTAGGCAATGATGATGGTATGACGATATCTTGCAAAATACGACCAGCCTTCTCCACAGGTGAGGATACATTTGTATTTGAAGATTCTGGCCTTTCGGATGGTTGTCTAGCCGGCTGAATAGGAGGTGGTAATGTAGGGGACGAGAAGACGATCGCTGGGGTTTGTGTCATCTTGGGGTTCATTTGTCGTTGCTGACGAAGATGCGCTGTGTAAGTAAATCTGCGTGAAGCAATTGCAGGCGGCGAGGAATGGATCTGGGAGTTGATCAAAGATTCGTCAGGGGGCTGTGCAACAGATCGTTCAGTATGGTGACTTGTTGATGGTTCGGCCTCAATGTCTACTACCGATTTTGAATGTTTGGATTCTTTGACTGGTGGCGACGGTGATTTGGATGGCTTTGAAGATTTTGGGCGATTTTGTGATGGTCGAGAATTGATTTGAGAGATATACTCTGACTTTCTGATCGAATTTGGTCGGAGCGGTGCTTGGCGCATTAGCGATGGAGTGGTAGCAACAAGGGGAGCTGCAGCTTTGGTAGAGGGTAAATTCTCGCGTAATTCGCCAGCCTTTGTCAGAGGCACAGGAGGAGACTCCGACGGGCTTTTACTATCAGCATAGACGACTGTATTCTCTTCCACGGCTGGAGAACTCTCTGGCTGTAACGTCGCAATGTCCTTCTTTCGGGCAGGCGCTGGGGTTGCGGCCTCGAGAATTTCAGGTGCGATGCTCGAAAATGAATCATTCATTCCAGCATTCTGGACGCGATGGATAAGAGAATTTTTAGGTCTCCTGCCTGGTGTAGCGGCTTCGAGGATCTCTGGTGCTATACTTGAAAACGAGTTGTCCTGTACCGTACTCTGGACTGAAAGGATATTTTTATTTTGCGGGCGTGCGGTCGAATTTTGCTTCTCCCCTTGGAGCAGATCATTCAGGGGTTTCCTCAACGATGGCACAGATTTAAGCGAAATCAAGCTAAATCCTTCACTCTCCATGATGGTGTCGAACTCAGGCCTATTCTCAATATCATTATCCATTTCATCCTCGAAATCCTCTTCTTGCATTTGTCCACCACCATCAGTTGCCCCATTTGCAGATCGTCCGAATTCCTGCGTTTCGTCAAAATCTTCATCCATCCCATCGTCAAAGTCGTCCCCTCCGTAGCCATCATTTTCATCATCATCTTCAACCAGATCATTTGATTCCCGGGATAGAGGTGCATCTTTCACAATTTCCCCCAGAGGACTCGTTTGCTCTTGTGCCTTGTTTGATGAACTCGGAAGTTGAGAGGTCTCCATAATGCTTGACCATCCTGTTGCTCGGGGCGTTTCCTCTCCAGGATGGAATCTTGCAATGACAACGTCCTCCTCCAGTTCTTCACTACTTGGGAAAGTGGACGTGGATTGAAAGGCGGGGTATGGGGAAACTGGACTTTGCGAGTTGGCATTAATGGTTGCCAAAAGATCAATCTCTTCCGGCATCAATTCCTCAGGAATGTCAGCCTCTACCAGTTTGAGCCAGGCACTGGGAGTTTGTACTTGCTCTGCCGCATCGCTTCCGTCTGATAATCGTATTTCTTCTCGTAATTTGGACCTTGGCCTACCACGACCTCTTTTGACCACACTCGATGGGACCAGATCCGAACCTGCTTTTCTCTTACGCGGTGTCGCCTTTTTTATACCCTTTACGGACTTCGATCGTGATCTAGAATTGCCCGCCGAGACTTCTTCGTTATCGGCATCTGGATTTTGATTGTCTGCCTCTTGTCCAACACGTTTTCGTCCGCGCTTGCCAGCTTGAATTGGAGGACCTTGCTTCTTGACAGGAGTATCTGATTTTCTTGGCCGACCTCTGCGTCTCTTGGGAGTTACTTCATATCTGATGCTGGTATCATTCTCGGAGTCCGAAAGTCCCCGTAAGGGCACTGTTGTTGTCGTTGTTCGCTCTATTCGTCGAGGTACTGGCGCAGGTGTAGGAGAGCTCATATTATGAGGTCTGAGATTGGCATGATCATCCTCGCTATCTGAATCCTCGGCCTCCACAGTGACTCTAATCTTTTGTGGTGATAATGTGTTTCCTACATCTAACTCGAATATTTGTTTTTTCGGAGAACTACCTTGCATTGGCAGTGATAGACGTGACGATGGAGTCTTTCGTGGTTTCGAACTTGGGGGCGCCTGATATGTCAAGGATTCGGCGAGGGGATCTGGAGATGATAACGAAGCTTCATCCATGTCGTATCGCACCATCATAACAATGAATGCGCGAAGAGCGCGATAAATGAATGACAACCACTGCTTCCTATGTTCTTATGAGATAGATCTATGAAGATCATTCAAAGCCAAATTATTCCGATAATTTCATCTCTTGCGGGAGTGTGTATACTTCGTTGTCAATATTGTCGCAAAATGATGTTCTGATACCTTGAATATTCGAGATGCGACGATGGATGACCGTTTGTTTACATCTGATTAACTTGATTTACAAGTAATTTGAAGAGAGTAATTTAATTGGTCGAAGTATCTCGCTTAGTAATATTTACTATTTACTCATAAACACAGCCAACCACGTTTTGAAATTTATCTTTGCACCACCACAGTTTATACCTACCTAGTATATCACTGGCCGATTATCTTCAGTCATAACTTCATTTCTTATATTTTTACACAGGCTCAAATTAGCACCACATTTTCTGACTTGATGCCCCTCACCAACGCCTCTGGTGCTACAGTAACGATTATCCCTCTATGATTACCTCGGAAGAGTTTGTCGGGTTGACTTGAAACAATCCTTGAGTTGGTTGAAATGAAGCTATAACAAGTCTCAAGAACCAAGTGGTTTGCTTCATGGGAAAAGCTATCTGCGTGACGATCTTTAGGGTCATATATATGCGGTGTGCACTATCTTGGACTTATATACTAATTGCTGTCATGCCGTGAATACATTGTCATTCATGATCTTTTCACTACTTTCAGTTACTACTCGTATATTTTCCCTCCTGGCGAGTTATCCCAGGCTGGTGGATGGTTACTACTGAGGTAGAAATCAAGACTAATACAGTACTGCCCAAGCTCCCCCTTTTTCAGTCGCGTAGATACTAATACAATAAGTAGTACCCTTTCATCAATGATTATATTCTGTTTCACCTAACTTTGCTTATATCAATCAACTTGACTCGCTCTAAAACATGATATGATATATACCCTCGCAACGAATATATTTCCCCCTTGAGTGAGTATATCAAAATAATATTTCTTAGCTTAGTAAGCATGAGACAAGAACCGAATCTGGGGAGGGGGTCGTTCTGAGGTTTCAATGTAGCGACGTGTGGCTCAAATTCAAGCATTTGATTGGTCGATTTCAGAAACTGTCATCAGCTTAATAATCAATCTGCACTCAAAGTCAAAGCAGCAGTCATTCAGTTGCCACATGGCGTGCTTTAACCGATTAAACAACCCGTGAATTACTCATCTATTCCCTCTTCCTCGGCCTTTGTAAGGGCGCGGTATGACTTTCTAACGGTGATAAGGCATAATCCATTGCTCGATTTCTAACATCTTAATGACGTGCTGGTGCTGGTTGTGGCTGGCACGGCACTGCTTACAATATCAGAATGGTTACTTTTAACTCATTGTCCTTGATACACTCGAGTATATATATCTACATCTATTGCTATCAATACATCTTCTACTTACATTAAATATAACACAGGCATTTCATACACACATACATACATACTCCCATAAAAGTTTTGGGATAACAAATTTCGAAGCGATCAAACCACAGTTCACAAGATTGATTCTAAGACATATCAGAATACAATCACCAATTGCACATCACATCGACAATCCAATATCATCATGACTACCGCTGCACCCATCCACAATACTCCCGTCCACAACCTCTCGCAATCTTCTCGAATTGAGTCTGCCGGACAAACACAAAGCAAAGATAGCAGTTTCGTTCCTCGCGGCGATACAACCGTCACCCTCAATTATTTCCAACCACCCGAAGACGGCGTGGTACCCTTCAACTACGTCGAGGAACCACCTCAAGGCCAACCTCAGCGCAACTTCGGAGACTTTGACATCCAAGTACCCATCACCGACATCCGCGGTAAAGAATCCCAATACAATCTCGACAAAGATGCATTCGAAGTCATAGTCGGCCTTCCGGAATCTGCGGAAAAGGAATTTCGAGACGATGACTCCATAAAAAAGAACTACTATCCCGAAGTCGAGAAACTCGTCTTGGATAATGTACCGGGTTCGAACAAGGTGTTCATCTTCGACCATACAGTCCGTCGCTCAAATCCCAATGCGCATCGAGGCCCCGTCGCCCGAGTGCACATAGACCAAACGTGGAAATCAGCCAAACAACGCATCCACCGCCATCTACCCGAGGAAGCCGAGAAACTCCTGCAGGTACGTTATAGAATAATAAACGTATGGCGACCCATCAACGGAGTTGTGCAAGGCAATCCCCTCGCATTTGCCAGTTCGGAAAGCACCAGTGACGAAGATGTCATACCGGTCGAACATCGATATCCAACCACCACGGGTGAAACGGCGGGGATTAGATATAATGAAGGTCAGAAATGGCATTATCTTTCCGGAATGAAAAATGATGAGAGGTTGTTCCTGGAGTGTTTCGATAGCGAGTCGTTGAATCCCGGGACGGAGGTGAAGGGTGGTAGGGTTCCACATACGGCATTTGTGGATCCGAGAACGCCGGTGGGTGCGAAGGGTAGAGAGAGTATTGAGGTTAGATGTTTGGTTTTTGGTCCTTGAGACTTTTTGGTCCTTGAGATGGGAATTGGAATTGGAATGGAATTGGGCCAGGTGATACGATACCGGTAGAGAATTGGGTTTTGGGATGGGATGGAATCTTGAGTTTATTAGCATGGTACTGGTACTTTTTAGCATATATGAATTTATGAGTGTTTTTATTCTTATATCTTACTTGTCTGATATCTTGACTTCATCTCGATTTAGATGCATACATATTCGATGAAAATAGGTCGTGTGAAGGGATATTTTGTCTTGTAGAGGATTGATCTACCTAAGAAACATTAGCAAGAAGCTAAAAATAAAACGATGTTTGGATCAAGGCAAGACATACTCGCATTTGTCCCATCATTCAAAGTGAATTCTCCATTTAAGAATGTTGCAATGTTATCTCCGTTTGCAGAAACATCCGGGATACCTCTTCCAGCGCGGTTGTATACTCCACCACTAGGTAAATCCTCTATAAGACAAGACAAGATTTCTTTTTACACGACCCATTTTCATCAAATATGTATGTATCTATAGTAAATCGAGATGAAATTAAGAGTTAAGATGTCAGACAAGTAAGATGTAAGAATAAAAATAAAAATGCTCATAAATCCATATATGCTAAATGTACTAACTCGAGTATAATAATAGGTATACAATATATAGATACCTACCTACCTATCTACCTATACATTGTATACCTACCTAGGTATTATTATAATCGAATACCGATCGGTATGTTGGATTTGGTATATGTGGTATACATACGCTCAATCTCAATCTCAAGCTCAAACTCAAAGTCAAACTCAAGCTGAAGTCGTACAGGTTATTTTATTTTTAACTTTTTACCTGAACTTTTTACTGGAAGTGTACTCGATGTACTTGAGTATCTATGTAGTGAGTGTATTGAGTGTGTGGGATGGGAATGGTGGATACTTGATACTTGATACTTGATACTTGATACTTGGATGGTGATGGTGTATGAGAGTGATGGTGGGGATGGCTAATGATACACTCAAGAAAGTAATAGAAAGTAATTTAATGAGTAAATGGATCTTGAAACGTCTCATTACATACATTACATTACTATTTCACATCATATCATATCACAAGATCATAGAACCTCAAAAGGAATTTTTTCAATATCTATGTATGTATAGCCCCGGAAGATCTCATTGTTATTCTCTTTCCCCATCTCTCCCACATATCTCTCCAATTCCATCTTTCATCTTCCATCTTTCATCTTTCATCTCTCATTTCTTATTGCTTTGGCTTCTCATCTTTTCATATCTCATATCTCTATCTCTCTATATCCCATTCTCATCCATCCATATTCCCAATTCCTATCCCCTATCCCCCATCCCCCATCCCCCATCCAACCCCTAACAAACCACCCAACAATGAAATTCCCCTCCCTCCCTTCCAAAGCTATAAGCATGCATATCCTTCTTTCAAAAAAAAGCCAAAGTCGAAGTCGAAGTCAAAAGTAAAAAGCAAAAGCTCAAGATCAAGATCAAGCTACTCAAAGCGATCGATCGTCACAACCGCACAACCACACCCATCTGTATCCGTATGTATACAACAAAAAAGCTCCCCCAACCTCCCCTAAAAGTCCAGGCCGTCATATGTTGTTTCATCAATGCAAGAGGAAAGCAGAAAGAAAGAGCAGTTCCCCATCCTTAGATATGAAACGCCATAAAATAAGAATCCCATCATAAAACTCAGCAGAGTGAAACAACGCGCAGAACCAGTCCAGCAGAATCATATATGCTCCCCACAATGCTCCAGTCCGTGCAATCCAGTCCAGTCCAGTCCAGTCCAATCCCATGCCATCCCAAAGACTCGGCCCGCGAAACATTTGATGCGAGGGAAGCCCGTGAAGAGGAACAAAAGCAAGCAAAAAGTAGTATTCCCGCTACTTGCCATGTTCCCAAAACAAACAAAAGAAAAGAAAATTTTTATGATTAAATGAGTGGAGATTTTTTTCTCGGTTTGAAATGACATAAATCATTCCTACCAAGGTGGGAAATACCAGTGCGTGCGGAGTGTTGCAAATGTCCGACCCCTTGAAAAATGCAATCGTAGGCAAAAACGCGCAGCGCGAGCCACGTTCGATGTCCCAGCCCTATGTATGCGAATACCGCCCGCGCTTTTTCAAAATGAAAACGTAATCCCTATCATGTGATATTGCAAGTTGCAGATGCTGAAGTTGGGTATCCTTTGCGATTCCCCCTAAAAAATAACTAACGCCTCGCTAAAATGAAATTGCTTGAAAAGAAACAAATCGAATCTGGATCGATCAAATTCCCAAGGCGTCCAGATGCGCCATATGAAATCGAAATTATTGAACCAAAGAGTCGATGACTGTTTCTTTCCAGAACTCAATATGAAATCTCGCCTGTTTATACAAACGCCCCACATGATATATATTACAATTGGTAAGTATGTACAGATAAATCGAATGTCGTTGAAGTATGAAGTGAGTTGAGATCATTGGTGACCACTGTCAACAGAAGGTCTTGGTGATAGAGGTGTTCGATTGAAGACGGTACGGCCGAGGCTCTTAAGTACACTAACGCTTTCATTTGCTTCGGCGTTGACATAGATACTTGTAGCGGCGTCGATCTTGACCCGACAGAAGAGTGTGGAGAAGAGGAACTGATCACCATTTGTGTCGTAAAGAGGTAGAGTGCGGTAACCCTGCTTAAGACTGCTGAGTTTGGCGGTATATGTGGCCAAAGGTAAGGTTTTAACGTTATAACTATGGCCATCTGATGAGCATCTGACGGTCCAACGAACAAAAACGAGTTCCGGAAATTTGGTGGTTAGAGCGAAATTGAATTTCTTATTGAAAGCTGGGTTGAAGCCATTCTCTTGGACGATGTGTGTACGGCGCTTATGAGGAGCTCCCAAACCAGAAGAGCCATCCTTGGCAGAAGCATCAAGACCACCTTCTCCAATGACTCCTTTAGTTTCCTTGCTCTTGTCGTCAGCATGGTAAACCTCGACTTCGACATATGGGTCGACAGAACGATTAGAAGGAAGACCCTTTGGGCGCATGAGTTGTTGAGCAGAGATGATATCAATTGAGAAGTTGACATTTTTGCGCTCTCGCTTGACGTGATTAGCTCCTGCTTCCTCGGGAACACTAGGGAGCATTTTAATCTCTCGAAGTTCGCTTGGCTTGAGGACGTAGCCGGATTGATCGGTACCTCCTGCAAACATCGCATCATTCATTTGCATACCAAGATCATGAGTTTGCCAATTGAGAGCTACCATCTGAACACTCCGTCGCCAATATTTGAGAGGATCAAAATTCGTAGATGCGACACGCCATCCATTAGGATACACCCGCATAAGATATCTCATGTTGTGTCTGGTCATCGCACGGCGATCAACCTGCGTCTTGCTATTCCTATCAAACGTAGACTCCATGAATGAGAAGATGTGATTATAGGCTTTGCTGTCAGGGTCATCGAAGCCGCGAAATTTGACACCAACACTATAAATACCAAGCTCTCCAAGAACTTGAACGATCTTGCTTGTCTTGGGCTTATCCTTAGGTCTGTCTTCGTTTCCTTCGCTGTCGCTACTGCTGCTACTCGTGATTCCATCAGTTCCAGTTCTTCGAATGTTTTGCTTGATGTTGCTTCCACTTGAAATTAAATTTGGTGGAGGTGGGAGAGAGCCACTAGAAATACTTGAATTGTCGAGCTGGGTAGGATAGACACGAGGTGAGCTCAAACTGTTGCCACGAGAACGACCATTAGCCTTGGACGGAGTTTCAGCGAGAATTCTGGGTTTCTTGACTTTGATCAAGATTCGATCCATCAATTGAGAAGGCGAGGGGAGTTCTTGTGACGAGGAATCAAGTGGTTCTGTGACCAACGCTGCACCGCAGGCTTCCTTGATGATCTGAGCCATGGCTGCCTGCTGTGCATCATTGCAATGAACTTCGAGAGAAATCCACAAGGGAAAGTGGGATTTGACAAAGGCATATTTCGCAATCGTGTACATCACATCGGAAAACATGATGGGTCTAGTCATGGTATGTCCATGATTGACAATAGGTCGCCCGTCTTTGCCATCCCAGCAATCAATTTCAACACATCGGCAACCTTTGATCAAAGCTGAGATGTAAGCCTCGACACTCGATTCGCCAGCGACCTGTCGACCCATAAGATAAGTGTTGTGAGAACTAGAAATAAAGTACTCGTGAATAGGACGATCGAGGGAGAAGGTTTCGGGGACAGTCTCTAGAGGAACATTGTGGGTGGATGTCAAGAAGGTGGCTAGAGCTTCTTCACTCATCCGCGCAACCTCACCTTCTTGTAGTGGCTGATCTCGTGATCTCGATCGACGGGTAGCTTTTGCGAAAATAGATTCCCATTTGGCTCGGTCCTTCTCAACATTCTCCGCTTGGACTCTGCCGATGAAATTGATGAATTCTTCTAGGGTGAGTCCTTTCGTAGGGTCGGAAGCAAGCTTTTTGTAGATTTCCGAAACATCTCCTCTGCGTTTCATGAGCTTTACAAATTCTTGAAATTCGGCAAAGTTCAATTTCTTAGACTTCGTAGTGTCGACTTGTTGGAACCTCTCACGTAGGAATCTAGAAGAAGTGTTAATATGGAGGTTTTTGCAAAGTTGCTCGACGCCCTCAAAATTAAGAGCCTCTTCGTCTTCGGCATGAGGTGTCTCAGAAAACTGCTTGCTCATTTCGTTGCGCCAGTAGTTTTCAACTGCCTTATCGTTAAAGGAAGTAAGATTTGACATGTTGTCCTGTCTATGTTTTGATATAGCGTCAAGGGTTGTTGTCCAAAGGTCGAAAGCTTGTTCATCAAGGGCGATCAAGTGCATGATTTTCGTTGAGCGTCCATTCGACTTGATGTCGGGTACAACGTACAAAATGGAGAAGAAACGAGGTTCGTCCTGCGAGTCAACTTTGAACTCCTCGCGGTAGTTGAGAGCGTCGGATCCGAGTCGGATTTCCTGTACGTTATCTATAAGGAAGCTTTTGGCGGGCCTGGTCTTATCCCAAGAAACTTTACAAGCTTCGTCTTCGAGAACAAATGTGAGCAACTTCCTCTTTTTCTTTGTAATTTTGATCATTGTGGTCCCTTGCAGAAGAATGGTAGGGATGACAGGACCGAAAGCGAGACCTGCGTTGCCGCCACCAGTCATTGTCGAAGAGCAAGCGAATGAGGCACTGGAACTTGGATAATCACCGCCAGCACCTTCAATGCTCAGTGGCGAATCCACTACACATTCAATAGCATTCTCGTGGACGTCTTCGTCGGAATCAGAGTTGACCACGTTGTATCTGGAATCTGGGGCTGTATTTGTACTATCGCTTCTTCGTCGCAACATGACTGGTCCGGCGCTCTGGTCCCGACTTGCAGCTGTAGACTGTCGTCTCGAGATCTTATTCGATAATCTCCTCATCAACCCTTGTGATCTATTGCTAGTGAAAGTCTCGGCCATCGCAGTTTGACTCGGTTTTTTAGAGACTGTCGGACATACTGATTCGGGGAGCGGTTCGAAAGGGGGAATGCGATGCTCAGGTTCACGCCCGCGCGGACCTTCAGGGGATACTTGTAATGAAGAGTTGCTGGTCATGATTTGATGAATTTCGGGGGACATAATTGGTGATACTTGTACGGAGCTTGAGGTTGTGACCGAGGAAGCCGACATTGGGAGAGTAGGAGCGGCAGTAATGGTAGGGAGAAATTCGGTTCGCACACGCGATATGCCGCGTCGCCGATTTATGGAGGATGTTCTCTGCGGATATGGAGACATCTGAGGAGATTGTTGTTGTGTGGGAGCTCGTGAGGTAGTCGGAGTAAGATTGGGACTCGAGGTATGAGAAGACATCTTATCTTGTAAGCAGATTCACGTTCAAACCCTTGGGGGATCTCAAATGAATTGTCCAATTGTACAGCTTCGTATAATTAAGCTAATAGCTGAACTCGGGGTTGAGAACACTATACCATGTGGATATGATTGAGCGCATGTCTTTTTAAATGTTGCTGCTGAGTGGTGAGTCTTCTTATTCTGCCGTGGTGATTTGAGATGGGAGAATCGATTGGTTGCGCCAGACCATGTAACTTCTTTCCTTTTGAATGAATTTGAATCATGTGTAGCTATTAATGAGACGTCGGATCTGGATGATCTTGCATTCGATCGTAGTTAATCGCGGATGTCGGTGGCCAGTTTAGGACATATATTTTCAAGACCTTGTTCGTAGGAAGGATTTTCTGCGTGTTCGACTAGGATTGTATTCGAGGTGGTGGTAGGTGGGGGGGGGGGGTTACTCTTTTTTTTTCGGTTTTTGTGGTGGTGCAAATGTGGTGTGGTTGGTGTAAGGTTAAGTGGTGGTGCAGATGCAGATGCAAATGCAGATGTTCGTAAGAATCCAAGGCCTGCAGGGAAAAAAAGAGAAAAGCTGGGGGGACTGGCGGGCGTAGGTGGATTTTATTGTAAAATGCCCTTGTATTTATTCCTTGATTTCGCTTTTCACCCCTTGATCATTGGGTAGAGGAGGATGGGGGGGGGGGATGAAATGGATGAGATGGAGAAAGAAGGGGAGAAGGATAATTCTTTTGTGCGTTTTTTGATTTGTGCTTGAGAAGGAATGTAATGTAATTTTGATACTCGTATTGTATAAATAAAGGAGTGACAAATGAGTAAGAGTGTGAGTGAATGGGAATGGGGAATGGGGAATGGGAGTGGGAGTGGGAGTGGGAAGTGGGAGTGGTATGTTTTTGTTGATTGAATGATTGAATGATTGATGGAGAATTGATCGAGATTGAATGAATATACGATGATGTTTCTTTTCTTTTCTTTCTCCCTTGTTTTCTCTGTCTCTCTTTCTCTCTCACACACACACACACACACAAATGCTAATAACGTTTATAGATATTTCAATATCAAAATGAGCTTTCATCAAGGGTTGTCATTTCCTTCAGTGTGGCTCAAAATTGGAGAGTGGTTCGTTTATTGGTTGGTGCCGTTTATTTAGTGCGATCAAGCTGTGGATAGGGTTCAGTTCTTTGATATTAGTCAAATCAATAATCGTGGGTGGCCCCACTATAGCTCAACATGATAGCTTAGTCTTAGTCTTAGATAGTGAGTAATCGCTCATTGTATTGAAGCTATTCCTATATTCTAACTATAATCAAGATATCGTAATTCTGATTTTATATAATGAATCTCTGAATATTAATTAATAATTATATAAAGTTTCGAATATTCAATTCAAAAAACAATAATAATATTATATATATATAGATTTAAACAAAACTTAAAGACTCAAGATCAAATACTTTAAAAGAAAATACAGATATCAAGAATCAAGAATCAGTAATATTTTAAAACTATTCAAGTAATGATATTCCAATCTTTGAAACCCAAAAGGAATCCCAAGACAAATCCCAAGACAAAAACCCAAGACTTGTTCCGAATGTCTTATGTATAAATCCAAGAGTCGGACTAGTGTATTACGATAGCTAAGGTAAGGTATCTGAAGCCGAGGAAATTTAAATTCCCTATCTACCTGGTATATCCCAAAGAAATGGACCAACAGTTGGTTTCATTGTACCATTTTTTACTAGGTAGGGGTAGGCACTCATACTCGTCATTCATCATTCATACATGCAATTGCGCAGCGCAGTGCATATAATAAACATTGACTGCTATTTTACTTGATCACCACCAGATCACAGCGTTTTCCCCTTTTTCTCGATTTTCAATCCTATCCTATCCTATCCTATCCTACCCTATCCTATCCTATCCTATACCTTCCTATCCTATCCTGTTCATCCCATCCCATCCCATCCAATTCTATTCCATCATCATCAACCAACCAACCAACCAACCAACCGAATAGCACTCTAGAGTATCAGGATTCAAGGTACTATGATCAAACACTAGGTAGATAGGTCTCGTGGTCACATTCACATTCACATTCTGTAACAAATGGTCATAACAACCCTACCCTACCCTACCCTATCCAATCCATACATTCTCAGCCCTCAATTTAATCTATCTACCTAGGTATCTGGTATCTATCTAAGAAAACCTCATTATATCAATACTACATCATACTTTACTGCACATAACAATATCTAAACCCCATTCATTCATCATTCATCATAAGGCTCAAACCTCAAACCTCAAACCCCCTCATCTCATTTCATACTCCTACCCATCCACCCATCCAATCAAAACACCATATATATCCCGCCCGTCAAAAAAAAATCTCACCTAATGCATGCTTGCCCCATGTGCTATACCAGTTCCATGCATTAATACGATCACTGATGGGTAAAGTTCTCAGCTCGCTTGCTCTCGCTCTTGGCAAGGGTGATGATGATGTTTCATTATTGTTATTGAGATGTTATCAGTATACTGGTACTGTAGCATTGCCTTATATTATCACTTATCATATTGACTAGTGAGTAGGAAGTAGGAATAAGATTCATTCTTAAAGGTGGGCAGTTTTCGGGATTCGGATCAAGTGTATAGCTAAGAAGAGGGTTAATATAAAAAAGTTCCCTATCCCCACTATAGAATAATACTGTACTGTACTAGTATAATATAATCGAAAGAAATCACAGGCTTCACAGCACGATTGTTACATATTGTGCTCGATTTTCCAAGAAGTAGACGGTGAGTACAAGGAAAGATCAGCATCGTTTAACTCTGGGATGCAAGTGGAGTGGATACCTATGGATAAGAAGTGGGGGTTTTGAGCATGAGCATTGAGTATGGCGGTAATTCTCTTCGCAAGGCAAGACTCACAATGTGTTGTGCATTTCGAGGAAATTGAACATTGGAAAATCTCTATATAATATTTGGGGTAATAAGGCTAGCTAATTCATGAGTCCTGGGAAATCCTCAAGGTTTGTTTGCTAAGGTTTAGATTACTTGTAATAAAAGTAGTTCTTATATCTCCTTGCTCTATAGAGTATATATAAAGTATAGTAAACTAGATGAACTAGGTGAACTAGGTATTATAGATAACAAATATCTATATCAAAAATAATATAGAAGCAATTCCCATTCCTTTTCTGTCTCCTTCTATCTCTTCGATGGGGATTATCCTTGCCATGTGAACCGCTCTATTGGATCCTCAGGGGAAACCCAACCTATGATACAGTCAGATCCTTTCCACGCCGTTTTTGGTACTCCAGCGTACCTAAGCCGAGTAAGTTCTAGCTTACATTTAATGTTCCAAAGAAATTCCCGACTACTTGCTTCTTCTTTTCGTCTTCTTTTTCTTCTTCTTGTTACCCTTTTAGTCTAAGTAATAAAAGGAGGCGTGACAGGGAACCGAGAGATAGAGGAGAGGCACTAATTTTCAATATCTTCATTTGTAAGATTACTGTTATACAAATGGAGATACTGTAGTAAATGGGCTCGTGATTATGATAAGTGATACGATCTGTACTTCATACAGTTGAATGTACATTCGTACATTTCTGTATTTGGAGAAAGATTGCCCAATAATTGGTTGTATTACCAAGGGATCAACAGGACCTGCTTAATCTCTTACTCTTGTTATACATTGTCGACATCATAAGGTTGATTACCCATCGCCGATAAGTAACTAATTGATTTTTATTCTGCTCATTTACTCGTACTTCCTTTTGATCCCATGGAATTCTACTAATTAATTATACTCACTGATTTATTTTAGGTATATACTATGTATCTACCCATCATTCCTATTATTTCTTGGGCTCTGACTGAATATGCACTCAGTGATGCAGCGCAGAAGCCCCGTCCTGCCTGTACATACATATCAATATCAGTACATACGACAATGTGACTGCAGATTACATTACTGTACTGACTTGGCATCATTCAATACTTGTTACGGAACAGAGCGAACACTTTATCTGTGTATATGCCATTCATCAACTGACCTGAGATAACCCTTCTTTCTCCTTGCAAACGGAGTTTCCGTTGCCTGCGTCTGCGAAGACCCTTTGAGAATGAAAAGCAATATAACAATAACTACTTTTTCCTTCTGTACAGTAAAATCTCAAGAAGTGTCGATTCTTCGGGAGAAAGGGCTGCGTCGTGTACCTCATACATCATTCCATCGATACATATCGTAAGATGGATGGATGTATGCATTGACGCATAGATATTCCAAAATCTTACTCCCTCCCACTCGAGCAAGATTGTCAAAATGAGCCATGGCATGATTCATCCCATTAACCCAACGTTGGGATACCGATGCCAACAGGTACACAAACACGCAGCCTTACTAACAAAGGTACAGACCGGCATTAAGAATATATTTCTCGTCATCAAATTCCTTGATCCATGATTTGATTTTGCATCAATGATGATCCTCTATTAGCCAAATTAATCAATCTGGCTGACACAAACCATCTCGTTGGATATTACAGAATACGTACTTCGGCGGACTGATAAAAAAATTTGGTTTCTATTACATGGCCAATTAAGTGAAATTAACCAATCCAGAAATCCCCCAAACAGTTATAACTTTGGAACCTCCAATTTTGATGAGAAACAAAAAGAGAATACCTAGGTAGCTTCTCGAATCCTTCTAGAAGCTTTCTCAACCAAAGTTACAGTGATGCGTAAGATATGGTACCGTTGATGCCGCTATGTACGGTAAACGATTGGACTCACGAATAAAACTAAACTCACCCCCACCAACAATCCTAAAATACCTAGGTAGAATCTTAGAATATACGAATATCTGGGGATAACATCTTTACCCACAATAATCAATCTAAAATCTACCTTCAGAATCATCTATATTATTGTATTATTTCAATCATTACCAAAAATCAAAAGAAACACACCAAAAGCAAGGCTCAGGACGACCCCAGGGC